CTTTACCGGACATTTTACAAACATAAAAACCAACCCCTAAATTTGGAATTTTTCCCCCGCCGCCCTAAAGGAGAATTTGTTTAATAGCCCGTTACTAAGGAACTAACAGTCCCAAACTAACAACATTTTATATAGGGACTCAAATTCTCACTTGGGACCCAAATCTCGACGCCTACCCCTCCCAACCCCTAAACCACCCCTATCTGAAGAAATAAGGCAACTTGGAAACTACTGGGCCGATTTCGACCAAACTTTTACGGTTTGGTCCTATAAATTCTCAGCAATCAGATAGAGTGCCAAACGTCTCTACATAGAGTACATAGAGATTAGGAAAATTAATATTAAGTTTTCACATACATAAATTCTCATATAGGAACTCGGGCCTTTCAAGGTATAATTAAGTCTCCTGAATCTCTATTGAGATCAGGATTAGTATTAAGGAATTTTGACAAAATTCAGGACTCTATTGAGCCTGAATATAGGTTAAGTTAGTTAGGTTTTTATTAGAATTAGGACACTCTGCTCCTCTTTTGAGGGCAGACTTAGGTTAAAAATTTGACAAATCTGCACTTATTGCACAAATTACTATCGTATTTTATTGTTTTACTTTTATTCAAACTTGATTTTAATCAAAATCTTTAAACTTATATTGACAACCTACACCTTTTTTAAGGGCAGGCTTAGTAATAGTAATTTGTTGTGTGCGTTTAAATCTTTAGCTTGACTGTGATATAGACACCCTGCACCTTTTTTAAGGGCAGGCTTAGTTTTAGGAATTAGTAATTTAGTAATTTTATTTTATTTTATTTTATTATATTATTTTGGTGTGTCCATTTAATTTTATTTTAATTTAAATTATCAATCCGTCTATTGACTCATAATTTCAATTCCAATTTTAATTCAAATTTTTAATTTTACTTTTTAATTTTTATTTTTGTTTTTATTTTTATTTTTATTTTTCAATTTAATTTATATCAAAAATTTAATTCGGATAAAACAGGTCTTAAAGACTGCTCCATATTGGTTCGAAAATTAAAATGGCAAGAAACGGCAAACACATTCCTGCCGCGAGAAATTCAAAAACATTTGATTACGTTTATGAATCTCCTTCTGAGATAAAAGAATTAAAAATGGTAAACGAGACAGCAGGTACGCGACTTATGACGGCAGAAGGCACACAAAAAACAGCGAGGAAGGAGAAAGTGGAGGAATTCCCCCACAATTTAGTAAGTAAGGCCAGGGATTTGGGTGCCAAAATGTTGGAGCATTTGGCACCCAAATCAGTGACAAGCGAGGGAAAACAGATTTTAAGAAAAGGAACGAAAGAGATGAAAGAGTGGATAGAGATGCTGGCTAAAAGAGTAGTAGAATTAGAAAACAGTAAGAACGACGATGGAACGAAAGAAATGGACAGAAGGGAGGAAAAGAAAGACGAAAGAATGGACGGGAAGGAAATAGGAGAGATGAAAGAAATGCTGAAAAATATACAGGACATAGTTTTGGGAAATAGAGAAAGAATAGAAGAAGGAACCAGAAAGACGAAGAGCACGTTAGAAAGGATGGATGAACAGCAACAGCTTAGCAGCCAAATAATGGAGGGCATAAATAAAGCTGCAGTAATAACAAAGGAAGACAACGATCACATGGATGGAGAACTGCAGAAATTTATGGACGTAGTGATGGAAGCAAGGGATGCAGCGATAGAGGCAAAGCTATACACGGATAGAATAGAGACGAGAATAGAATTCGAGCTAGATAAGGAAAACGATGAAAGCACAGCATATCTCCTGATGGAAGAACAAAAGAAAGTGATGGATGCAATTTTAGACAATAGGAAAGAAATAATAACAGGAAATAGGAAAATGGAAACAATAGAAGAAATAGGGAAAAAAGGGAATGATAATATAGGAGATATAGAAAGTATGCTAAGCACCACAATGCAAGAAAGTAGAATAACACTAGAGGAACAGGGGAAAATTAAAGAAACAATTTTAGGAAATAGAAAGGAAATAATAAGGGGAAACAGCATTATGGAAATAATAGAAAGTAGACAAAGAGAAGTAGGGACACAAATCACAGGGGAAAAAAGGGATATAGAAGGGATAGTGAAAGAAAAGATGGATGAAATCAGAAAGGATACGTATGCAGAGAGAGTAAAAGGGCCAGCTACTATGATGGAAACTTTACATTCCATCATAGTAGCATCAACGGACGTAACGCAAACAAGTGAAGAAGTGATTGAAGAGGTGAAAAAGAGTGTGGATGAAAAAGGAGAATGGATGGAGGTAAAAAAGATAAGAAAGGCAAAGGGACAGAAGGTCATAATAGGGTGTGCTAGGGAGAATGAAATGGAAAGACTGAAAGAGGAATTGGAAAGGAATAAAAAATTAATAGTAGAAAAAGCCAAAAATAAAAATCCGTTAGTGGTAGTAAAGTATGTAAGAGGAGAAAACAAGACGGAGCAAGTGATTGAGGCGATAAGAAGAATGATAGGAAAAGGAAAGAAAGGGAATAGCAAAGAGGAAGGAAAAAAGAACATAGAGGCAGTATTTGAAAAGGTAACAAGGAATCCACATGTGGCACACGTGGTCCTGAGAGTGGCCCCGGCAATATGGCTGCAGCTGACAGAGGCGGGGACCCTTCAACTACGCTGGGGACCATCCAGAGTAGAAGATCAGTCCCCGCTAATCCAGTGCTCCCGCTGCTTGGGCTTCGGCCACATCAAGCGGGTCTGCCAGGAGCCGCTGGACAGTTGCAGCCACTGCGGGGGAGACCACAAGTACGCCACATGTGCAAAGAAAGAAGAAGCACCATGCTGCCAGAACTGCAAAAAGGCGAAAAATAAGGACACAGCACACAACACGTTCAGCATCGAATGCCCACAGAGGGCTATTTGGGATAGGATAGCCAGATCAAAAGTCGCGTACCACTGCTAAGGGCGAAATTAGGAAAACAGTTACAGAAATTAAAGAAATAAATAGGAAAATAAATAGGGTAATAGGCATACAAATAGACAATAGGGGAACGCAAAGCAAAGCCAAAGACCAAAAAGTAGACGGGACTCCACTGGGAGGAAACGCAAAGGGAAAGGTGAAAACTGAAAAGTGCGCGCGGGAACAGCCAAAGCAAACAGGGTTGCAAATATGATATTTGCAAATCCTGTCTTGCGGAAGCTGAACCCGCGAGCACTTACCCAACCCCAAGACTCCGAGTGGAGTCAAACGTAAAGAACGGGATTAGATAAAAAACGGAAAAGGTAGAAATGTAAAAAGGAAAGTATACTATAAGGAAAAAGTAATTTTAAAACAAAACGTAAGTGTAATAAGAAATGTAGATGTAAATATAAATGGAAAAGAACAATGGAATGAAAATGTAAGTGAACAAAATGTAAATGTAAATATGTTATAAGACAAAGAAATGAAAACTGTAATAAGAATAAGTAACTCATGTAACTAGAATAAGAAAAAGAAGTAGAGATTAAGCATAGACGATGTAAATAGAATAAGAAAATTTAGAAAATAAGACAAAAGACCAGATATTAATCTGAGCATAGCAAAATAGTACAGATAAGAATAGATATAGGAATGTATAAAGCAAAAACATAAAGTATAAGGAACCAATAAATGTAAAATAATAGTCAATAGAAGTAAGAAATGTAATAGAATAAGAAAATTTGAAAAGATAAAAGAAAAAGAGACACAAAAAGAAAAATGTGTAAAAAAAAATATATATAAGCGCGAAAAAATAAACGTGCTTTTAAAGCAAAAAAAGAAAAATATGAAAAGACACACCAAATATAAACAAGTAAACAAAGACCTGCAACAAAGTGGGGAGCAGCTGTAAAAAAAAAAAAAAAAAAAAAAAAAAAAAAAAAAAAAAAAAAAAAAACCTAACCTAACCTAACCTAACCCAACCCAACCCAACCCATCCGAAAAACCTGATACGGCCTCCCCGGATACGGGAACCACCATCAGGTGGCACCCCCCCCTCCCCCACCCACTGTGCATTGTGTGAGGCCATGGGAACCATTTCGGATACATCGAGTGTCCGAGTCGAACGGATCCACCCAACTTGAGAACACCTACATATAGAGGCCTGTGCAATGTAGGACTCGGACCTCCCAAGTCCAAGCCGCGCTGGCCTCCGTCGGTGTGGATTAAAAAAAAAAAAAAAAAAAAAAAAAAAAAAAAAGTCGGTTGTTACGTCTTTTTTTTTTTTTTTTTTTTTTTTTTTTTTTTTTTTTTTTTTTTTCCCCGCCCGTGGAAGAGGATTACCTCCGTTTTACTGACTGCAGCCCTTAGTCCAACGTGCCTGATTCTCCCTATTACCAGGTGTGCACGAACCCTAGCTTGCCGCCTTGCCTCTTAACGTCTTGCCTCTTGCAGTGTTTTCCCCCTAGCTGTAATCAGTGTGTCATCCGCGTAACACACGACATTTAATCTGGAAAGAAGAACCCCCCTGAGTACCCAATCGTACGTACGTATCGTACTCCAGGGCGTCCTCTAGCTCGTCTTCCGTAATTAGAATTTATTTATTTGCATTTGAATCGACGGTATATCTCCTTTCCTATTCCCGTTTGCGTGGAATTCTGGAGCTATTAACTGAGGCACCATTGGCGGCTCCTCTGGGAATAGCTGAGCAACAACTCGCTCCAGGAGTATCGGATCAATTTTGTTGATAGGGGGCGCTTCATGTCGCATTTTGTTGTATATCATTTTGTAGGGGCGCCCCCATGGATTCGCATCCAATTCCTCTAGGAATTCTTCCCTCTATTAGTCTAGCCTTTGCCTCCCTGTAGGCCACTTTAAGATACTTTAAGACGCTCCTCTTCCTCTTCTACTCGCACTCTCACTTGCGGCAGTATCTCAGTAGCTCCCTTTTGGCTCTCATGCTGGCTCTTCGCAACACCGCAATCTCTTGGGACCACCAATACACTCCCTGTTTGTGTGGTCTAGCTGTAACTCTTGGCATGGAGGCGTCACATACCCTCCTTAAGGCATTCATGAGGCGTTCTGTTCTTGTGCCAATATCGTCTCCTCTGCCGCTTCCATGTCAAATCTAGCGACCACCCAGCGTCGAAAGTGCTCCTCACTATTCTGTCGGATTTCCAGATCTGGAGGTGGTGAGACCCTATTTATTCATTTATTGCATGTCACATAACATTCATGGTGGTACATTAATTTATGTAAAGTAAATATGTGACGCCCTGCAAGGGCATAGCAAATATCAAGCCAGAGGGCTTGTTAAATAATTATATTATAATACTTAGTTCACATTTCATTTTTACACAACAAACAATTCAATTTTATAAACTAGATTTAACAATGTCAATAAGCAATAATAATAATAATGAAAATGTCAACTTTAAAAATTAATTACATTTGTCGTCAAAAAATTCTTTTAAATTATAAAAACATTTTTGGATTAAATATGATTTTACTTGATTGTTGAATTTGGCTGATATTTCTTCGTTCTTTATATTATTAGGTACATTATTATAGATTTTTATTGTCATAGCATGAGGACTATCCGAAACCAATCTTAATTTGCTGTATGTCACTTCTAATTTATTTAAATACCTATTATTTCTTTTAACACTTACTATTGGTGAATAAAATTCTGGGTGTTTTCTTACAAATTTACATGATTCAAGGATGAGTATGGATGCAAGGGTCAAAATTCTATGTTTAATAAAATAAGGTCTACATGATTCCATCTGATCGATGTTTGTCAAAATTCGTATGCATTTCTTTTGCATTATAAATAATTTGTCTACGTCAGATGAGCTTCCCCACAAAATTATACCATATGATAGTATTGAATGAGCATATGCATAGTAAGCAGTAAGAGCGGATCTAAAATCAGTCACACGTTTTAAATGTTGAAGTGCATAAACAAAAGATGACATCTTTTTTAACAGCCTTTGTATGTGGCATTTCCAGTTTAAGTGTGCATCCAACTCTATACCCAGCAAAGTAGCAGTATTGAAAACATCAATCTTTGTGTCTCTATAACTGTACGATATGTCTAGTGGCACTTTTTGGTAGGGTCCGAATTGAATGAGCTTAGTTTTGCTAAGATTGAGTTGCAAATTGTGTGATTCTAGCCAATTCGTAATTTTAATAAGGGTAGAGTCTAGTTTAGATTGTAATTCTGAAGCACTTGAGCAAGATATTGAGATAGATATATCATCAGCAAACAGCACACACATCTCCTCCAGTACATTGGGTAGATTATTAATATAGGCAAGAAAAAAAAAAAAAATTACACCCCAAAACGCTACCCTGCGGAATTGAACCAGTTACATGAATTAAATCAGATTTAGTATGTGTAATTTTACCTGTCTCAAAATCAGTATTTTCAATTTCCACGTATTGGTAACGATTTTCAAGATAAGATTTGAACCATTCATGAGGCAATCCCCTAATCCCCATTCCATATAATATATCCAGAAGAGTTCTATAACTGACCCTGTCGTAGGCCTTGCTCATGTCGAGAAGAAGGCCCACCGCGTACTTCCTATTATTTATTTGTTGATAGACATCTTTTATAAATTTATAAACTGCTAGGATAGTGGAGTGATTTTTCCTAAAGCCATTTTGGCTTTCGTGCAAAATTTTAAACCTTTCTAAAAAAGAATAAAGCCGAACCGCCATAGCTGTCTCAAACACTTTGGATGAGGTCGTTAAGAGAGCCACTGGTCGATAATTATTAATATCAGTATATATTTGAATAGGTTTTATTTTTGATATTTTCAAAGCATCAGGGAAAACGCCCTCCGAAAAAGATTGGTTTACCAGCATAGTGTATGGGACTGCCAAAACAGCGGCACAGCTTTTCACCAGGGTAGGAGGTATTTCATCTATTCCAAAAGATGTTTTACTTTTTAGATTTTTTATTATATTGTATATTTCTTTAAAATCTACCGGTCGCAAGAAGAAACTATGTTCGCTGTTAATTGTAGAAGGTGGTCTTCGCATGCTTTTAGAGTCCGTGTGTGAATTTCCAATTGCAGCAAAAAAAAAGAGTTAAAAGAATTGGCTACAAGTTTAGGATCGCTTTGTATTATATTGTCTGTTGTTTTAATTTTCGTATTATTGTATTGTTGGATGTTTTTATTTGTCTCCTTATTTATTATTCGCCACATAGTTTTAGTTTTGTTTTGTGATTTCTCAAATACTTTTTTATTGCAACTTTTTTTAGATATATTAATAGCTTTTTTTAATATTTTACAGTACTGTTTATAATGATTTTTAAGATTATTATTACTTGTTTTTAATATTAATACTCTCAAGAATCTTTTATATCTACATGATGTCCTTAACCCAAGTGTTAAATATTTCTTATTACATGTTTTATTACTCTCTATTTTTATTACTCTTTTAGGTATATATTTATTTAAAGCTTCTTGTATAGTACTATTAAATATGTTATAATTATCATTAACGTTTTTACCAGAATTCAGCAAGTCCTCCCAATTTATAAGTGTAAGTGCGTTCCTAAATTTACTTACGTTTAGGTCACAAAACACTCGTTTGTATACAAAAAAATGTTTATTTTCTTTTTTACTAAAAGGTGCAGTAACTAATATACCGCGATGGTCAGATAAACCGAATTCATCAACAGCTACCTTAGTATCGTTTAATGTAAAATTCAGGAATAGCAAATCAATACATTTCGAGCTATATGGAGTAATTCTAGTCGGTTCTTTAATTTTTTGCGTGAAATTATATAATAGCATATTATTAGAAAGCCTCTGTTTTTCAGCGTTATTTATTAGAAAATCAATATTAAAGTCTCCGCCTATGACTATATTTTTTGTGGAATCTTTTCTGGATAAGAGATTTAGTAGTTTTTCCAAACAAACATAGAATGTGTCCACTTCTCTTTTACTATTCGGCCAGTAGACAATTATTATTAACAAATTAAACTTAGGTATTTCGACAGCGCATGTTTCGAAGATCATCTCCAATGATATAGAGGATATATCTAACCTATCAATAAATTCAATTGTATTTTTTATTAGAATACATACACCACCTCCCTGGTGATGTTCCCGGCAGAAAGACGAACATACCAAGTAACCCTCAATTTTTAAGAAATCTTTTTTATGTTTATTTAGCCAAGTCTCGGATATACATAGAACCTGAAGATCAGAGTTCTCCTCAGTAAATGCCTCTATAATATGTGTTTTGTTAGAAATGCTTTGCATGTTTTGAAATAAAATATTAAAATTGGTTTCGAAAGGTACGAAAAGTAGAGTTTTTAGTATATTTTTTCGTCACTCCTCCTGCTGTTGCCTGGTTGGTTTGTTCTTACAGTTTGGGTACGCGGTGGACGAGGTGTGGCTGAGTTTCGACGTTTTCCGGGACTGTGCTCAGTGGTCTTCAAGTGATTTTTGTTAGTTGGATGCACCGGTGTGTCCTTTAGTGGCGGTTCTTCACACTCTTTGCCATCAATAAACAACTTATTGTTTTTTATTATGGCATAATGTCCTTGTTTTCGTGCCGAATACAAGGCATTGTTTAGTTTTTTTCTTTCCTGTAGAGCTTGTGGGCTTAAATACTCTGCAACACCAAAGCCGGCTTCTTTTAAATAATAAGAATTTTCAAGTATGTATCTTTTCAATCTTTTATTGGTTATTTCGATTTTTAAAGGTCTTTTATTTGTAGATCTACCTATGAAAGATACTTCTTCGATGTAGGCTGATATGTCCAAGTATAGTATGTCGAAGAAAATGTTCGTTACTCTGCCAATTATTTCGCTTTCGGTTTCCCAGTAATACTCTGTTAGTCCGTGTAAAACAAAAACTTTATCTATATTTTCGTTGGTTGGCTGGTGTAAATTTATATGCGAGTGTTGCAACTTATTTTGTATACATTCATTTTCTGTTTGAAGAGATCTGCATTTTTTATTTAGTTCCACTATTATACTGTCTAAATTTGATATTTTTTGTTTCAACTGCGATTGCTCAAATGCAATATTTTCCAATTTTTTATCATATTCTGCTTTCATCCTAGATATAGCTAATTCTATTTCATTCCTAATAGAAGCTTGTATAGCTGTTAATATGCTCTGGTTGTTTTCGTGTAATAATATCTTCATTCTTTCCACGGTAATTTGTTCATCCCCCATATTAGTGCTTAGGTCTAGTTTACTTTGGGTCTTAGGGGTATCGAATATAATAGTGTTTCCCTGCAGTGAGTTTATTGAATCATCATCGCTAAGGTTCGGGCGATCCCCTGTGTTACGTGGTATCAGTTTTCTAAAGGTGATGTTAGTATCTAAAGATTGCTTACAGGGACGATCAAAATTTTCAGTGTGAGGCCGAATCGGAGTATTACTGTTGTCAGTTTTTGGTTCCTTTGAGCGACACAATTGGCATTTCCATGACTGTTTGTGCTCTTTACTCATGGTATTATAGAACCGTTTCTCAGATACGTTACAGCATTCAAGATCATAATTTTGTAAGCAGATAGAGCATTTTAAAAATTGTCTTCCTAGTATCTCTTGACGGCATCCTGCACATATGCCTGCCATCTTGAGGTACGTAGTAAAAAGTTTTGTTTTATGTGCTGCAATGGTTCTTGCTTTAAAACTAAAAGTAATAGTGCAGTGATTCTTGCTTTGAAAGCACTCAATCCAATTTAGTAAGTGACAAGCTCACCAGATGTCGCTACTTGCTCTAATTTTATTAAACCAAAAAGACAGCTACTCGACACTAGGTGACGCCATAGGTAGTTCGCGGACTTGTTAATGTCAAGTAAGGTAGGTAAATAGTCCATGCGTAAACAAATAAATCCGTTATGTTAAATCAAAAACTATTTTGATAACACTCGCAATTATCACTTATTTACCTAGTTCATGTTTAAATATATTTATTGTGTCCTTTTTATTATTATTACGCAACCCAAACTATTTATTTTTAAACTATCACTGTTCAAATTTGCACTGACCAGTTTTTTAATTATTATTCCACTAATTTTATCACAAACACTAACACGTATTATTTACCAATTAATTATCACTTTGATGAAATAGAATCACTATAATACTAATGTTTACGTTTTATTTTTTTAAATTTGCGCGGAGCCAATGTTTTTACGTATACCGCCCTCTGGCGAGTCCTAATGCGGATATATAAATGATCCGATAAAGATTCCGTCTCTGGCAGCACTCTACATCCCTGAATACGGGCAGCTACCGCAGGAGAAGCGAACGTTAGGTCTACGATTGAGCCTCCGTTCATCCTAACGCATGTGTGGTGTGTGCCTCTGTTCTGTAGTATTAGCTCCGATGTGACTGACCATTCCCAGACTGATTCTCCTCTTGGTGTCGCACGTGGGGACCCCCAAGCTGGGTGCTTCGCGTTGAAGTCCCCAAGTACCACCACCTGACGTGGAGCCATACGCCTGACTGCACCTCCAAGCACATCCAGCCACGCCTGCAGCTGAGCCACACCCCTGTTGGGTGAGAAATATACCCCTATCATTGCCAATTCTCCCATGGTCACAGCCACATATCCTAATCCCCTTTTTACCACACAAAGATGGGCGGAGTACTCATCCTGTAATTTAGCCATTATCGCGACCGAGCCATCCACGTCTCCTGCCCATTTGCTGTTAGGTGGTACCGAGTACGGTTCTGCAGCTATGTTAATCTCCTTCTTGGCCTTTGCTATTACCGTGCCATACGTCGCACCTTTTCCCTCTGCATCAGGGGTAACGGTGACCACCACTGCAGCCGTCTTCGGAGCCGAGAGCTTCTTTGGCATCTGAATGTCTCTATGTCGTCATGTATGGGTTAAATATAAAACCCAACCCAACCCACCCCCACCCCACCCCGGTGTACTGGTTTTGGCTGAGAAGAAAGATACCTTATACATATTTATATACCTGATAGACAGTAATATAATGTTTTTTTTTATTGAAACTTTTATTACGTCGCACTAATTGTTTGGTTATCTTTAGCATGTCGCATAATATTTTTAATTTTTGACGACCTCCGTGGCTTAATGGTTTGTACGGCGGGTTTCATGGTGTCGCCGACTCGAGAGGTCCCGGGTTCGAATCCCGGTGGGGGCAGATGTTTGTGTGATGAAAACGTGCGTTTGTACTCCAGTCATGGATGTTTAATATATATATTTCTATAAAAATATACTTATATATGTACTGTATCTTATTCTTATCCGTTACCCTAGAATCCCATAACACAAGCCTTACAGCCTTACAGTGCTTACTTTGGGGCTAGGCTAATTGGTGTGTGTTAGAAATATTTATTATTTATTTATTTAATTGTTATAAAAAAAACAGAAGTTATCAACAAGCATCGGTGATTCAGTGTTAGAAGGCTCGCTTGTTACGCTGGCAGCGGACCGGGTTCGATTCCCAGTCGAGGAAGGACTTTTTTATAGCGCAGTATTGTCAATTTACGGACAGCTCAATGTATGTATCATTTTTGTCGTTAAATAACAAATTTTCAAATCGTTCATCATACTAAAAAGAAACAAAACAGTTTCGTATCAAATTATTTAATAAAATAACCTCATCAAATGTATACTCTTTACAAAACAATACATCGTTATAGTGATCGTTGCGGTCTGAGCTGTGGAGCTCTGGGGCATGATGGGAGTGCCGGCGTCCGCGGCGGTGCGGCGCTCAGGCTGCGGCTGCAGCTGTCCGGGCGGCGGCGGCTGCAGCGGCGGCGGCGACTGCGCGGGCGGGGTCGTCTCATTGGCGGGGGAAGGGGTCCGCGTCGGCGTCGGCGTCGGCAGCTCGTCGTTGCCGCCGCCGTACTCGGCAACGTTGTCGCCGTACTCGCCCGCCTTCAAGTACACCGACACCGGTGAGGTTCCGCCTGGAACGACCGATCGCGGCACTGCGGTGCCATGCGCCACCGACCCGCCTCGAGAGGCGTGCCAGTGTGCGCCATGCCTTCTGCGAACCATCGCTCGATTATTCAAATCGGTCGAGCGATTAAGAGAAACATAGAATGACTGCCGATTTCTAGTACAGATTTATAGAGCAAAACGAATGGGGTAATTGAAAAAGGTACAGAATTATTGTAAACAGCATCTAGCCCTTTCAATATTTTCCAGCAAAAACAACATAACCATGCAAGACCAAATCAATCAATTTATATGTATATTAATATGATGGGAAGATTTTACTAGACAAAAACAATTTCATTTTTTAGACACAAAACAAAAATAACGGCTGTGAAGTTATTGCATCTCGCGGCAAAGTACGCGAAATTTCGGTGGGTGCGGGATGTTGCGCTCGCTGCTGACTTCACAGCCGTCAATCCTGAATCCCATTATAACGGAAAAATACTCGGCTTACTTTGAAATCGGCCCGGTTCGGCTCGAACTCCTGGGCGAGGCTAGACACAGACGCGGAGGCGGGCGCGTCGTCGGGCTGTGGCGGCGCGGATGGCGGCGGGCTCGACCGCGTGGCCGAGTGCGTGTGCGTGTGCGTGTGTTGCGCGCGTCGCCCGCCCGAGCCGTGCCGCGTGCGGGTGGCGCGCGCTAATCCACCTGACCCGTTACAAAACGCAATTTTAGCAATAGCTATGAACATTTAGGCGCTTTGGAGACGGCGGGGCGGAGCGGGCCGGTCAATTTCGCCGCGAACGATAGCACAAAGTGAATCCTATACTACAAACGCACACAGAGGGCAAAAAGACCGCGCCACAGCTGCCCGGCGGACACTGGTGGCGCGGCATGTCCGCCGCTGCCCGGCGTGGATCATAAAAACCAGTTTATATGCAGAAACGCAGACGGCGGCGCGGGGCGGTTAGCTCAGTCCACGCCACGCGCTTTTTAGTGATGGACTATTCATTAGAACGAACGTCCTGAACTGGGGGCCAATCGCCTAAAGGAAATGCTTTGGAAAACGCTAACGCTTACGATTTTATTTTGTTATTTCTAGCCGCCTGAGGTATTCAAATGCCTCGCGCTCTTTCTTTTTCTTTTGCATTGGTAATAACAATATTAAAAAAAATGAGCGTGAGGTATTCGAAAACCTCAGGCGGTTAGAAATAAAGCGTTCTGGTCCCTGGCAAAGTCGATCGAAGGGAACTTTTGTCGCCCCTCACTGCCTCCACTGCTGAAGCCTGACGGATCGCTAGCCCATACCGCTGACGAGAAAGCGAATTTATTTGCTTCTCTTTTCGCGGAGTATTCGCGCCTCGATGCTGGTAGCGCGTCGCCTCTTTCACCTCCTGACTGTTTGACTCAAATGTCAGAGTTCAAAATTCGCCAATCTGAGGTACGAAAAACGCTGCGCAATCTGGACGTGCATAAGGCTAGTGGTCCTGATGGTATTCCAGCCATTGTCCTGAGGTCTTGTGCGCCTGAGTTGACTCCTGTCTTGACGCGCCTCTTTCAGCTCTCCCTTGCAACTGGTAAAGTGCCGAGTTCTTGGAAGCTTGCTAACGTACAGCCTGTACCCAAGAAGGGTAGTCGTGCTGACCCTGCAAACTACCGGCCTATTTCAATTACGTCCATACTCTGTAAGAGTATGGAACGTATTTTGAACCACAGGCTCCTGGCGTACCTAGAATCTAACGACCTCCTAAACGACCGACAATATGGCTTTCGCCGGAATCGGTCCACGGGTGACCTTCTAGCGTGCACCACGCACATATGGAGTGAAGCCATCGAGAAGTACGGGGAAGCTCTAGCAGTTTCTCTCGATATTTCCAAAGCCTTCGACAGGGTCTGGCACGACGGTCTTATTAGCAAGTTGTCCTCATACGGCCTGCCTACTGGGCTTTGTGCATGGATTTCAGACTTTCTGAGGGATAGGTCTATTCGAGTTGTAGTGGATGGTTGCTCCTCGGATCTTTGGGCTATCAATGCCGGTGTCCCCCAGGGGTCGGTACTCTCTGCAACGCTGTTTCTGCTGCACATTAACGATCTGCTAAGACCCGGTATCTTTGGGTATGCAGACGACAGCACAGTTGTAGAGAGCTATATATCCACCGCGCGAGCCAGTGCGACAGAACTCCAGTCCCATAGGGAGGCCATGGTCGAGCGCTTGAGCCTTTCTCTTTTGGCGGTCTCCGATTGGGGCGATGCCAATTTAGTTGGGTTCAATGCTGCGAAAACCCAGGCGTGTCTTTTCACCGCAAAAAAGAGGCCATTTAATCTGGCCCCTACTTTCCGGGATGTAACCGTACCGATCAGCGACCATCTCGAGCTACTCGGTATTACATTGTCACCAACCCTCAACTTTGGCTCATACATTGAGTCCAAGGCCCAATTAGCAGCCAAGAAGTTGGGTATCCTCTCGAAGGTGCGACGATACTTCAAGCCGGAACAGTTGCTTACATTATATCAAGCACAAGTTCGGTCGTGCATGGAGTATTGTTCGCACCTCTGGGATGGATCGGCTAAGTACCAACTTGAGGCGTTGGCGGCAATTGAGAAACGAGCGATAAAGCTCATTGGAAATGATGGGCTTTGCCGGGCAAAGTTACAAAGCCTGGAACACCGACGCAAAGTTGCCAGTCTTTCGGTGTTCTATTGGTTGCATTTCGGTGAGTGTGCAGAGGAATTACATGAGCTAATTCCTCCCGCCCCTTTCTACTACCGGACGAGCAGGGAAACGGCAAGGCGACATCGATTCACGGTGGCAGTTCCAAAGACTCGCACTAAGCGATTCGCGTCTAGCTTCATCGTGCGGACTGCCAAACTGTGGAATTCCTTGCCTGAGCCCTTGTTCCCCGAGCACTACAATCTAACGGTCTTCAAAGCAAGAGTGAACCGGTTTTTATTAGGTAAGCGCGCTCCATCGTAGACCATAATATTGCTTTCCATCAGGCGAATTATGGTCAAGCGCTTACCTATTACCGAATAAAAAAAAAAAAATATATATATAAAATCGTAAGCGTTAGCGTTTCGCAAAGCATTTCCGTTAGGCGATTGGCCCCCTGACTGCCTCTGCCCGTCGTGTGCTTTGTGTACGCGGCGCGGGCAGCCGCAGGCATCGACGGGCAGACGCGGTTTTTATTGCTTCGCGGACAAAATGCCCGCCCCGCCCCGTCGTTTGCAAAACGCCTTATGATCAAGTGCAAGCAGCTCCTTTTTTGAGCAAAGTAGGTACATCAAGCGGTAAAAGAAACCATGGACAAAAACCGATGGAAACAAATTACAATACCATTAAAATTGAGTGACCTCAGTAATATAATAAGAGAACGTTTAGCTTAAATATGTAAAGAGGAGATAAGTTCTTAATTTTAATAAGCCGGTAAATGCAGAGATATGCGGCGTCGGGAGAAGTAATAACACAAGAAAAGTGGAGTCTTAACTGAATATTTATTGAGATGAAAACAGGGTTTTTATAGTAATTTGAAGTAGTTCAATACGATAATGTTCTACAATGACATTAAGCTTGTTTAGAAAAGAATCCGATTACATGTTACACATTTACCTTAAAGAAGATAGAATATTAATTTATAATAAAAGCAATAATAATTTTTATACGTCATCGACATGACGTCGTGCATCGCACTACACACGCCTATGCCATTACTAGTTAGCAATTTTATTGATTAACTCAAGTTTCTTATTTCTGTATGCTTCAGAAGGCGGATAGAAACTGTCGATTTCGACTGAATCAGTATACCCGATAGCGGAAACAATAGTGAAATGAGCCTAGATGATCAAGTGGAAAAAAATATCTTTGAGTTGAGCAGGGCCGGATTTAGGATTGTGGAGGCCCCGGGCCACTTAGGATTTGTATGCTTATTGACCCATCGAAATGTTGTTATTTCTTAAGCTGTTGTGGAGGCCCCTGGGCCACAGCCACACCTGCCCTGCCTTAAATTCGGCCCTGGGTAAAGGTAAAAGAACAAAAAAAATATCAAAGGAAAAGATGTTTACTAGTGTTTACTAGTTGGAATTTGAAAGATTTTTTTTCTGAAGTCTCTATTGTGGGGGCCCCCCGTTTGTGGAGGCCCCGGGGCTTTCGCCCCGGTTGCCTTCCCCTAAATCCGGCAGTGGAGTTGAGTATGATAACACAAACGACTTGTGAATTGTTTGTGAAGTGTATTATTCTCACGCGGGCGACTACTGGCAGCAGGTGGCGGGCGACGCGAAGTGGGTATGGTTTCGACGGATGCGGGTGAGGGGTCATCTACAAGGCGTCGTTCTACGCACAACTCCGCACAATCACCATCACTATGAACACAGCAAATAAATTGATCATGAGAAATACGAGGGATCAATAATTTTAATATTCAAACTGTATCTTCTTGTTTACGGACCAGCAAACAGAGAATTTATAGTCTTTGGAAAGCGTTCCTTTTTTTATTTATAGTTGTAGAATACTCCTCGATAGTAATAGTTATTGTGTAATTAATTATGTGATTCAGCCAAAATTCCATCCAAGCTATCCATCAGCTAGCATTGTATGCATCTATAGGCATTATTTTATCTGCTACTGCAGATATAGTCAAAAATAACAACACGCGGTAATCGCAAATAATACGGCTACCCAAATCCATAACACAGTAATCCATATTTGGAAAAAATTACAGGACGAGCAGAAATGTGTTTTTGCTTGTCTTTAGCATATTTAAACGTAGTGTTATAAAGTGTTATACATCAATCAAGGCGTAATTTATTTCCTGTTTTTTTAGTATTTTTACTATTTCATTTTAAACGCTTTAGCGTTAGAAAGAATACAAAATATCTATATGAATTTTTGACCTAGTATGGAACAAATCCTTGTTCCTTCTGATTAGTACCGGATTGAAAACTAACAAAATAAAACACAGTATATCTTATTCTAGTCGTATAACAACAACTTAAAGAAAATAATTATAAAAAACTAGTGGGGTCCGCTATTTCGTTCAAGAGGGTATTTATAGAATAAAGTGTCTTTCCCCGTGTCATAAACTATCTCTATATTAAATTTCAGGACTTTAGTATTCATTAGTTTATTAAAATGCAGCATGTGCCAGTTAGAAACAAAAACTCAACGTGCTCGCGACAAATAACACGGCAAACTACTTACCGCGGATTTCGTTCGCATTTCTATTGAATATGTGAGTGTTACTGTGTAACGGACGCACAATTTAGGCGGTAAAACCAAACCCAAAACCATTTACTATGCGATTCAAATAAGAATAGGAAAGCCAATGACCTTCATCTGTCAAATGCCGCTTGAAAAGTACGGTTTGCAAAAAAATCTTGGAACACTTTTTTTACCACTGACCTAATCTTAGATAAATACCAAACATTTATAACCAAAAGAAGGAAATAAATCATATGTAACGTATACAAAATGAGTACAGAAAATGGGAAGTAACAGAACTTTAGTTTTATTTTAAGTACCGGTAATAAAAACACCGTTTTTATTTTAAATAAAGTTGTCGTTTTTAAACCTACAATAATCGATATTTATTTTATAGCCAAAAGCAGCAGTGATGATGATGACTACTCTAACGGTAGTGCAGAGATGAGATCAGTGATTCTGATTAATGTTTTTTGTCACAATGTTTTGAGAAAAACATTAAAATATATTTTTATTATTAAAAATCTGATATTTTTTCTCATTTAATTTTGGTAAATAAATAAGTTTTATATTTATTTACCAAAATTAATAATATTATTATAGAAAATCTTTTTTGCTCACTCTACCTAACTGGTTTGACAGTTATGACGTTACAATATGGCGAACAGTCGTTCCTATTCTTAGTTGAATTGCATTCAGTAGCAAACATCATAACTTAATAAAACCACGAAACACCCATGATATCTCATACTGTGTTTTGATTTAGTTTTTGAGACGTACTGTGTTTTGATGTGGTTTTTAGTGTTATTTTGTATCTTACTAGGTTTAAACTTCTTAAAATAATTCAGGCTCAAGGCGACCACAGCATTTTGTATAGCGTAAGAAGCTGAATCAGGACAGCAAAAAATTTTTTTTTCTGAGTTGAGCCTTTGTGTTTTGGTTTTGGACAGCTTAATAGTGGTCAAGTCCCACATGGGACATAATATCAGTGCCGGTACCTGCCGCAGGCTCGCAGCGTGTGCGCGCAGTGTAGGAATCGCCTCCAGCGCGCGATGCTCTGCGCAACGTGCGTATCGCCGCAGCTGCGCCCCGCGCCCTCCTCCGCGCCCTCCTCCGACTCTCCCGCGCCGCGCACCGACCGGCTGAGCACGCCGCATACCTTGCCGCCACACACCACACCCGCACCCCAATCGCTCTGGCAAACCATCTCCGTCAATACGATTCTTGGTATATAAAACTACAAGTTCTGAGCCTAAACTAAAACAAAAAGGGAAGATACGGCACTCGCGGCTCAAAAGTGATACGAATAAATTGTGGTGCATAACCACAATTCGCTTTAGTCACATTTGGACATCCACGCATTATGCATGTGCACTCAATATAACAATATTGCGTATATTCTGTGTTATAAAGAAAAAACAATGCCTTCGATGCTTTTATAAAGGACAAATAGTCCAAGATCAAATAACAAATGCCACGGCAACATTTTTGAAGTTATACTTCTTTAGCCGCGTTATGAAAAAATTATGAGAGTGAAATTTTAAGATGCGCGCGCATCACTGTAACACAAAAGTAACATAATGAAGTTAGCCGCGGGCGCGTTATGAAAAAATGATGAGAGTGAAATTTTAAGATGCGCGCGCAACACTGTAACAGAAAAGTAACACCATGAAGTCGGCCGCTAAACCGCACATTACTCGTAAGTCTCGAAAAAAAGCTTCCAACAAAATAGTAATAGGATCTCTTAGTCGCACATGTTGGGACGCTCGTCGCCTCTGATCACTGTTTTCATATTTATAATATTTATTATTTAATAAAACTGTAAGACTGTGCGGGAGGGCGAAGGGGGAGTGTGAGAAGACTGACGTCAAATAAAGATAGGTGTAGGTAGAAAATACTTATATTGTGATTACTATTCAATATTTGTAGGAGAAATGGTATTACTGTATCCCACAAGGGTGGAAGTACATGTATACTATTATCAAGACACTAAGACGTCCCACGTGGTGGAAGCGTATAGCGTGCAAGACAATAGGCCTTACCTACGAAGCGATGACTTGGTCAATTTCCCAAGAACACCTTATACAAGTGGTGTCAGTATAGTATAGCACGATTCACATGCGTACAGCGCCATCTAGTAGCGGTCGGCGTGATGATATTTAATACTATGATGTTACAAAAATAATGGTGGATTAACAACTACTTAGTGGTTAATAATCCACCATTATTAGACATCTGTTCGAAAGGTACTTTGAACGATCCACGGAGCTCCATAAGATGATCGCGTTGTCAAAAACAATGTTGGCACGCTAGTCGCCTCTGATCACTGTTTTCATATTTATAATATTTATCCACATGTTTCTAGTTTCTATATAGACACAACGTGTTTTAGTTACTTACAAGTGCTAATTACATATGGACTAATAACTTAAATTCAGTAGTGATTTTAATTGAATATTTTGAATATTTATTTAATTTTTCAAATCAAAACTGAACTTAATTGACTGTGTTAGCTATCCTTTTCCAGTCCTTTTATTATTTTATTGTAATTATTAATTATTTGCATGCAATTAAAAATATTTTTAATGATGCTAAAGAAGTATAACTTCTCACGCGCGTACATAAGTTACACGCATCCATTTTTTTATTTCTAAAACTATAAAATCATATTTTTCTCAAAAGTCACCGTTTGCCACGAATGTTAGTTACTGATTCGCCATTTTTTATCAAGAAAAAGACAACAATACAACTCAGCCGTTTAAGAGAGAGAGAAAAAAACGCAGTCGGCTGCAAAACGACGCGGATCATGCCGTTTCGCTTGCGCGGCATTGAAGCGTACAATTCTGTTTCGCTCGCTCGATTGAATATTTATTTACAGAATTGTGCGTGTGAGAGTTGCTGCTGTAGTTGAGTCAGATCATATTTTATTTGATGCTACTATGAGCGTCCCGTATCTTCCCTTTTTATTTTAATCTAAGGTTCTGGGGTTTTATTAAGGTAACTTCTGAGCGACTAACTTCTATACTTTCATAACAAGCAGCGAAGTTATCGAATTCATCGCTGGCTCCTCCGTTCTCCGATACTTACATATTATCTCGGTCTATTTAAATCGCAATCGAATCGGTGAGCGGTATCTTAGGCCGCATCATTCTTTCCACAGGCGGGACGACGCGATCGAACACTACTCACTATTCATTACTTTAAAATAAAGAAAACGTTGGGTAAACTTTGCTAATGCGATACTATCTATCTCTAACGAGCTTCGTATTTCCTGTTTGCTTTTTAATAAGAAGATGATAATGATAATGCTATAGGGTGGGGAGGGTAAGGTGGCCAACCTCGCAGAGTTCGGAGCCGACGAGGCAGAGCGCATGTTCCTTTACGGAGGTCCAGTGTTTGGCGGCGGCGGCGCACGTGTCGGGGGGCTGCAGGTCAGCGCCGACGATGTCGAGGCGCGCGCGGCGAGGCGGACGCGAGGGAGTGATGGCGCGCGCCACGTGGCAGGCGGCGGGCGGCGCGCACTCCCCCGCGCCCGCGCCCGTGGCCATGAGGATGGGCACCGCGCGCGCCGCGCCACCGAACGCGCGCTCCAGCTCCGCCAGCGCGAGGTCCAGCGCGCCGCCGCGCCACGACGAGCCGTCCCACTCGGGTGCTTCGCCTACTTCCTAAATAACATGTCATTAAAGTTCAATAAGGCTTTTATTTACTGGAACTTTCATCATCTCGATTTCCATCTCATGTACGACTATGCAAGTACGGAGAATTTCACCCAGAGTGCTCTATATATTTGTCCAGACGGAGAGCCTAATAGTTACCTATCTAAAGGCCAGACCCATGAACACTTTACTTTTGTTTCAAAGGGGATTGTGGATATATAGGTATGTAAGTGAGTCAGGGCAGTATTTAAGGCAGGGCAGGCGGGACTGCGACCCAGGAGCGCCAACAACAAAGATAAAAAAAAACAAATTCCGACAGTTCACGAACCAAATGAAAAGTGTAAGTGACGCGGTTCAGATTTAGAGACCTCTTCTCCTTCGTTGCCCCAGGGTCTCCGCAACTCTAAAACTGCCGATGAGGTAAGTCATTTCTCGTTGCAAAAAACAATAATAGTGTAATGTGTCCTGACCGCATCAGCGCCAATAGCGACGGCGACGCGCACGATGCGCCTTGCGCCGTCCAGCCGCGCGGCAGGCAGGTCGCTAGCGGCGGCGGCGGCGGCGAGGGCGGCGAGGGCCCACAGGTCGCGCGCGGGAGAGCGGCGCCGGCCGTGCGCGCACCACGCCGACGTCAGCGCCGTGCGCAGCGACACCAGCGACCCGCTGCACCGCCACCCCGACTCGTGCTCGATCACGATCTATACGGTTTATGAAACTAATTCAACGGTGGCTGTTTTGCGTTATCTCTTCAAAACATCGTACGTTTATTTTTTGAGTTTTATAGTTAATTATTTACAGAAATATTTGCCACCCGCGCCTTCTTCTTTTGCGAATCTCTCAGAAATATAAATTATTCTGGTATAAAAGTCTGAATCTAGGTAATAAACGATAATATGTGTGCCTAATATCATAAAAATCCGTTCAGCTCTTTTTGTGTGATTGAATAACAAACTTTCACAGATAGTAGGACTACAATAGAACATAGGATACCTCGATAAATCAAAATAAAGGAAGTCAACTTTGCTACTTGGCGTGCTATTATAGTAGGGTAGCTCAAACAGGGATTTTTGGATTTACTCGAACGCGGCAGAATAATATAAGAGGGGAAACCTTTTAACGTACTCATACTATACCTACATAGGGGATTCTATGTAGGACCGAGCGTACAGAACAGCCAAAAAAAACAGCGTGTATAGATGGCGCTGTTCATACATCTACATCGCGGTATGGTTTGGTATAACGGCCTTGATATATTTATTTATTTATCAGGCATGCCAACATTTTTACACCCAACATAATTAAAAAAAACCATACGTTATACATAAAGTTGTGCAAAAACAGTTACACAACTCTTATTTCTGTCAAAATTAATGATAAAAACTAAACTAGGTATAAAAAAACATACGCAAAACTAAACTATAATAAAGTGTCACAATCAATGCTCGATAGCAAAGCCCTCCTAAATGCAATCAATGACGCAGCGAACAAATCAACGCCTACCAAGGACCCAGTACAGATTTTATTATGTTGTTCACAAATCCTATTTAAAACACTCTGCGTACCCAGGTTGGTTTTATAAGTTTTTAAATTAAATAATTTATAGTTAGCTGGTCTGAAATTTGGTCGTGGTATATTAAAACTAATTTCACTAAGAAGTTGAGGACAATCAATGTTACCTCTCAGAATTTTATACAATAAAATCTGATCAGCAACCCATCTGCGTTTCCGCAATGAAACCAACTCGAAATACTCCAATTTATCCTTATATGAGATGAGTTCATATCTTTTTCCCTGGTGTCTAGTTAGAAAAGACAAAAACTTTTTTTGGATTCTTTCAATCCTGCTTTTATGACACTCATAAAGAGGATTCTAAATAGCAGAACAATACTCCAAGGAACTGCGTACCAAAGCAAAGTATAGAAGTTTCAATGCTTCAACATTTTTAAACCGCTTACAACTACGCCAAAGAAATCCCAGCATTTTTAAACTCTTAGATATAATATGGTCAAAATGATGAGTGAAAAGTAATTTTTTATCCAAAAAAATCCGAGATCTTGAATGGACGATACCTCTTCAAGAACTTGGGAATTTATAGAATATGCAGACTTAACCGGAAATCGTTTCTTAGTGAATTTTATATGCTTACATTTGTCAGGATTAAAAGGAAGCATATTTGCGTGTGACCAAGCCGCTATTTGGTCTAGATCTTTTTGTAAAAGCTCAGCATCATTGGAATTTTGGACAGTTTTGTATATTTTAAGATCGTCGGCAAACAATAAACAATTTGAGTACCTAATAACTCGAACCAGATCGTTTATAAATGCTAGAAAAAAGAGAGGTCCCAAATGTGATCCCTGAGGAACTCCTGAGTAAACCAGAATATAATCAGATTAATATCCACAAGTGACTACTTTTTGATACCTCTCAGAAAGATAAGAATGACACCAGTCTAACAAAGTGCCGTGAACACCTGCCAAGTATAATTTCTTCAGCATTATAGAGTGATTAACCTCATCGAATGCTTTACATAAATCGGTGTACACCGCATCCACCTGTCGACCTTGATCCAGTTCAAAACTTAATTCGTTTACATAGCATGTCAGATTTGTAATTGTAGACATCTTTTGACGAAAACCGTGCTGCTGAGGAACGAGGATGGATCAAGATGATTTGTAAAATATGGGTACACTAATTTTTTAAGCAGTTTAGGAAAACCAGATAATAAGGAAATAGGTCTATAATCACGCACGTCGCTCGTATTTCCTGATTTAGGAATTGGTAAGACATTAGCCCATTTCCAAACTAACGGAAAAACACCAGTAGATAAAGAATTATTAAAAATAATATTTAGCGGATATGATAGAGAAGAAGCACAGTTTTTTAGGAATACGGCTGGCACTCCATTCGGATCTGGACCTTTCCTTGGATTAAGATTCTTCATCGTTTTTTCAATGCATTCTACCGACAGGTATATATTAGAAAGGGAATTATTATTGTCATAAGATGTACTGCCAACGTGTGGCATTAGAATAGCAGGATCATTAGCCACGTATACCGATGAGAAGTGTTGTGCAAAGGCATTACAAATTGACTGAGGAGTATCAACCTTGGTATTATCAAGGAAACATCGATTTATCGATGGATACTTCAAATCCGAAATCGAACTTTTACAAATGTACCGTTATAAATTTTAATTTATTTACCAAAAAAGAGTACTTTCTTTGTTAACCAAAAACATCCATAATTGAAAATTTTATGTTTAATAATCAATGAGCAATCACGGTGTGATTGTTTATCGAATGCCAATTGCATCGATAAACGTTTCTCATGCGCGTAGGCACATACTACGTCACATGACGTTTGGTTTTGTTTTTTTTTATTGAAAATATGATTTTCATATTCATATTTAATAAAACAAGCCATGAAATGGAATGAGAATAATTTTCTGAATGCAATGATACAATTAAATCGTAATTTGGTTCGGTATTTATAAAGATATTACGATAAACACTTTTTACAATGAAATATTATTTATGAACGTGTTTTCAGAGGATGTATGTTCGATCGTAATTAATGGTTGTTAAATTGTGCTACCTATTATTTCATAAGTTATGTACCTATTGTTGACATATTATTTGCGTGATCGCCGGTCTGTGACGTCACGTCCCCAAGAAAAGTCGTGTACCACGACAGCATCTGTTGTGCAAAGCGTTACATTAAAATAAGTATATATATAGCGTGCTTATCTATTATATCTATCTATTATATATTCTTTCTCTCTAGTTATTTACATCTATTCGTACTTTAAAATTTAAAATCGTCGCACTAAAACCTGACGCTCAAATCCTGACGCGGCCTTGAAAAGTTACACTCATCGCGTGCAAACAGGGGGCCAATCGCCTAACTGAATTGCTTTGGAAAACGCTATCGCTTACGATTTCATTTTGTTATTTCTAGCCCCCTGAGGTTTTCAAATGCCTCGCGCTCTTTTTTTTTCTTTTGCATTGGTAATAACAATGTTAAAGAAAATGAGCGTGAGGTATTTCGGCGGTTAGAAATAACAAAATGAAATCGTAAGCGATAGCGTTTTCCAAAGCAATCCAGTTAGGCGATTGGCCCCCTGGTTTCACTTCAAAAAAATTTATCAAACGGCTATGACTTTTGGTTACGTCCAAATCGTCAGTTTGAAAAGAAACTACTGAAGGGTTCAGGGAACACTTTACAATGTGCAAGGTTGCCCCTTTTATATTATTCTGCCACACTCGAGGAAATTACCCTTATTAATAAAAAGATTGCAGATGTTCATTAGCCCAAAATAGACGTTCTTAAATATTAACTTTAAGAAACTTGGTAGAGTACCTACCTACCTATTCGGCATAAGTACAGTAGTACCTATGCTAGTAGATTCTACCGCTGACTCAATCCCTTAGCTGCCCCATTAAGGTATGCTATAAAAATGTACTTGCCCTGTTTTAGAATGGACAACGCTATTATTCTGTTTAGGTAAAGAGCTGACTTAAGGTTTTTGGTCAAGCCATATTATACCGGCACGGCACAGGAAGGAAGCTTACTAAGGAATAAAGGATTCATCGAGGTGACCGAGGCCTAGCTATAACGCGGGCGTAATTTTGGAAAGTGCCTTGCAATGGGGGGACACTTTTTGAGCTCACCAAAAATGAAGCTGGTTTCTTTTCGCCATCCTGGTCACCGCCGTGCTCCGACTCCTCGCCACCCACATCCATTACGTTGGACGCCACTAGATCGTTCGTATCTATACAGTTACAGAGCAGGTCAGGCTTAAGATTTAGTATGCCATAAAAACTTTAAACCCATTCATCAAAATTGGTTCAGCTATTTAGGCGAAATATTGGTATTGATTTATGGATTTGGACGAGAAAAATTCGGGATTTCAACTCTTATAGTTGAGCTCTAATCATCGGTGTTAATCCCAGCCTCTTCTTGGTTTGCAGTTCTTTTATTAGTTGTCTGAACTTAGTAAAATACACTTCGTCACTCCGTAAGTCCGTAAATGGCACAGGTAGTTAGTACCAGATCTACATAACTTTTAGGCTGAGAAGCAACATTGTACAAAATGTCATACAAATTAGCCACGCTCAATAATATTTATGGGAAAACACCACTAATGTAAAAGTAGGTATAATTTGTATACTAGTGGGACTTTACCATTGGCGCAGGCAACGGTGGCGGCGCATGAGAACAATATTACCGTGAGAGCGGCGCCCCTCATGGCATTTCCAGAGAACAGCTCGCTGACCGTATCACGAGGTTACACATACACTTCCCGACAATTTTCAATCAACAAATCAGCATCGCGTTAATTATAAATGGACGATGTTTTGAATTCAACTGGCTGCTATCTGTCATCTTCGACGTACAATGCCAACGTAACTTCTGCCATCGGCATACAGTAGACAACATGAATTTTGTGGTGAAACTATTTTGCTGGTTCTATGACACTTCTATCCTATGCCTATCAGCATCTGATTACGGATAATGCAGATCATTATCAGGGATTCCCCTGATTCTATACGCAGATCATTCTTTGATGCTAATTGGATAGAACTGTTTATAATTTCTCATCTACGTAAAAGTGTAGGTCATGGAATGGTATACAATATACATACAAAACTATAGCCGATGGGCCGGTTACAGGATAGGTGACCAAAAATTATCGTGTCTCGCATGTTTCGGAAGGCATGTTACTCGTTGTTCTCAGCTGTGACTGCAGTCAATAGCACTCAATAAACTGCACTGGGCCCACGCGATGGCATGGCATTACATGGCCTAATCTACCTATTCAGCCCATAGGGAACGCTATCCCCCAGCAATGGAGACATTAAATTGAACTGTTGATGATAAACTTAGTAAAGACTTTTGGCTGAAGGGACATTTTGGATCGATGATCTACGGTCGAACCACTTGTAAATTTGTCCAGAATATGGCTGCCGTCCACACCTCTCACGGTCCCCGTTTTCGCCTTCCTCCACACCCTTTACCCTGCAGGCCATGACTCAGTTAAGCGGTCTACCTATAATGGGTCTGTAAAGGAGGAACCTACCGCTTCCAACAGGCAGGTCGCGAATTCGCGATTGATAGTCCAGATTTAATCCCACCAGATTAGGCAATGGTACACGTTGTCGTCATCATCAGTAGGAATGGGTAGCTACACCACTCTATCGCTTAAAGCAGGTAGCACAGTTGCCATGTTTTTAGTCTTCTCCTATCTGCATCGTTTATCTGTAGCTCAATGATTTTATTCCTCTTCGTCGATTGATAGATAAGGTTCCCAGGGTGTCAGATTTTAAAATAAGCCCTCGTTAGGGGCCTCCGCTCTATTGTTACCCCAGGGCCTCCATGCCTCTACATCCCACTGACAGAATATTAAATGAAATTAGAATAGATTCTGCTTTTAATAATTTATATTCTCTCCAAACCCAAGAAATAATTCAGAATATATTTATGATGTGAATATTACAGGTGGAAGGATTTGAACAGTCATAACACGAGCATTACATAAATTGGATATTAAATGAAAGTCCAGTTAAAGTATAATTTCTGTTTATTCAGACTTGAATAAATACCGTATACTGTACACTTTTAAGATGACCAATAAAGGTTTCATTTCATTTGATTTAGTTTCATTTCATAATAAAATATTTCAATTCCAAACAAACATGACAAGATTCATATTTTATAATGAATAAAGTATTTTGAAATACCATTTTTGAATTAGTCCTCCCCCCATAAGCGCATTATTGTCGGTCACTAATATGATGCATTTTAGCGACATTTGTATTTAGTACATTATGTATAAGAACGGCTACAAAGTTACACAGTGTTGCGATAATAACGACGCAATACAAGTATGATTGATGATTACCAAATATCGAATAATGGCGTGGATACCCTTAGTCGTTAGTCCGAATACGAGTGCCTATGGAATTCGGGTAAAGGAACAAGTGTAAATGAACATAGTCAAGTACGTCCGTACTTGAGTAGTTTTCGTTTTAGTCGCCGTTCTCCAGTGTAAATATTGTTTCGGGTACCCGAATTCGAGTAAGGTCTTTTGTGCATCTAAATACGCGCTAACGAGCTAGTGTAATTGCCCCATAACGTATTCGATAATGTTATCGGCCGATAATAATGCGCTACAGGGGAGAAGCTTTATTAAAGTACTATCAATTGTTACATCTCGTCCTGTCTTCATCGTAATAAACTAAGTTTATTACCATAGCTAATCTATATTACAAAATAGAAAATATCGAAAAGTTTTTACTTTAGGGAAGGTAGCTTTAGAAACTCTGGAATAACGTTAGAAAGGAAACTAGAACCACTCGGAACAACCAGAAATATAGGTTTTTTTATAGTAATATTTTCTTAAGATTTAAACATTGAGCAGGTACATGCTTAATAACGAAAATTATAGCAAACATTGAATTTCTAACAATGGGGGCTATTAAAAAATTTTTTTTTTGAGGAGGGGTTTCAAATATTTATTTTTTCAAATAAAACAAGAACAAACAAACGGAATAATCCAGAACAACCATGGTAATAATAAAATTTAAAAAAATATTGGGGGCTAACTCCCCTGAGGTAAAGTTTTCAGTCATATAATATGCTTATTTAATCGTCCCGTCCGTAACATCCATTCGATCGAGAGCATCGTGTCGGTTATCGGGCCCTTGTTGTTTGTCAGCGAGGGCCGTTATTTCTTTGGCACCTGGTTGAGCGGGCTCGGACGCGGTTGCCTGGTGGTCCCGGTCCCGGTCCCGGTCCCGGTCCAGGTCCAGGTCCCGGTCCAGGTGTAGCTCGAGAGGCAGCGCGTGGAGGCGCAGCTCCCGGTCCAGCAGCAGGTCGGCCAGCTCCGCGCCCTCCGCCGTCCAGCACGCGCCGCGGACGTACAACCACTGGACAAATATATCACATCGTATCGTCTACGTTTCAGGTTATAAAGCTACGGACAAACTGAGCCCGCGTGTGCAACGTATGCTACGCATTATGACATCTACACTACCAAAGGAGATTGCTCAGCTTCCATACATGTTCGGCTTAAAGACCAACAATCATGAAAAATTGTTTCCTAGATTCGAAATTATATATACATTACTGTAGGAAACGAATATTATTGACGGACACCCCTTAGAACTTCTATAAACCATATGCACTGAATGATTTTGAGGTTGTTTGCAAACAGGTACATAGGTATTAAAATAATAAAAAACAAATAAGTAACGAAATTATGTATTAGATTCAGGTATATAAAGCATATAGATTAATAAATAGTTGCCTGTTTTTAAAGTTAATGCATAAGAGTAACTTTAAAATCAGGTATCATCTATGCATTTCCGTTTACGATAAGGTACATTTCTATGACAAAAAATGTGTGTTATTTGTGAATGAGCCACAGATGAGAGAAAATTTTTAAACTCTCGTTACCTAAAGAAAGCTTATTATTTTTGTTATGTTTATATTATAACTATATTTTAGATTTTAGAGTATTACACTTTATAATGTGTTTATGGAGGTGTTTGGAAAAATTGTATGGCAATAGACTTTATGATGTCGATTACCATCTATAATATTTGTCTTAGCACATTTGCGTGTAATAAAAATGATAATATTATACTTGTGGATATTAATATTAATATCACAGTGTAATAAAAAAAAATGTTTTATTTTATCGATCTTTACATAATAGATTTGTTTTGATGTTATATAAACAACTTCGATCACTCTTTGGCTGAATGTTACTACACCCATAGCCATTAAAAATGATTCGTATGCTTTCCAAACCGGTAAAAATATAAGTACTTTTTAAAATGAATATAATTATACAAAGGTGTCCGTTAATCCGGATATTTCTCGGAATAATGGTAGATTCTAGATTAAATTGGAAACCTCACATAGAATACCTTAGTAAGAAAGTCAGCAGTGCGGCCTATGCGTTGTTTAAACTTTCCTCCTTATTGAACACAGACGCCCTGCTCACTGCATATCACGGCTTAGCTGCGTCAATTCTGAGATACGGTATTATCTTCTGGGGGAATTCTACTGACAAAGATTTAGCATTTAAAATGCAAAAAAGATGCATAAGAGCCATGTTTGATTTAAAAACTACGGATAGTTGTAAACCTTACTTCTTAAAATATAAGATTCTGACCATGGACGTATAAAAAAAGGCGGACAGAGTCCCGGCAAACAACAAACTGTGTCGCTCAGAGTCGGCCAGGTCGCTATATGTACAAGCCGGCACACACACATTCACACCATAGTCAGCCATTACGCGTGCAAACGTCAAAGCAGCCGATACGTTAAGTGGAGATAAAAATAAGTTAAAACAAGATGTCTTGCGTGGTAAAATGGTGTAAAAACCGTAGTGACCGAAAGAAAAAAAATCCAGGAATCACGTTTCATAGGTAAATGAACAATATAATCACTTTTTTCTAGTTTTTAGAAATCGAAATCAATTTTCATTCTAAGCACAAAATAATTAATCTAAAGTCCAGTGTTGTCAATGTTCACGTAACCATATTACCTAAAATATGGGAAATTGGGGTGACATTAGCTTCAATCTATTATTTGTTATTCTTTTTTATCAGATTCCCTAAAGAAAATGTAGAATGGAGAAATGACTGGATCCAAGTTATTAGGAATTGTAACGGAGATGATGAATGGATTCCAAATAAATATAGTGTCATTTGCAGTATCCATTTTGAAGCTGGAGACTTATATACTACTAAAAGAGGACTCCGGCGTGTTGTTACGCATGCAGTAAAGGTAAATTAAAAATTTTAACCGACTTCAAAAAGAAAGAGGTTCTATACGTCATATTTGTTATTTTTTTTTTCAATTGTTGTTCGTGCATATCTCCGAGATTCGTGGACCGATTTTGATGATTATTTTTTTGTTTGAATTAGTTTATTAGCGAGATGGCTGTATTAATTAAGTGCAGAGCTGATGAGTATTTTCGGAGGGAAACAATGGAACTCCTCAATTACAAACAGTACTCAATGCATGTTTTGTTAATTTAAGAAATATAAAAAAGAATGCAGGCCTGGCCAGGCATATTTAGGTGATTTACTCTGGCTTATGAAAAGTGGAAAATATAAACTTTTTCATACAAAAATAAAAACAGACTTCATGTTAGTTTTCCAATTACAGAGCATAATGCGACTCAGTGGCTACCAATGCCGAATTATGCTGATGATTAATTGGAATTAAAAGAATTAAAAGAATTAAAATTGTGAATTAGTTTTCAAATGCACCAGCAAAGTGCGCTAAGTTCAGTGTTGAAAAAAAAGTGGAATATAAAAAAAGTCAATATTTGTTATATATAATAGTTTGAATTAACTTTGATTATTTAAAAAAACCTACAATGAAACAAAAGTTTTAAAATATTTTCAACGATAAATAATATTACTAACGATAATATTTAAACAAAACATTTCGATCAATGCCAACTTAAAAACAGTGCGTATGAACACAATTTTCGCCTTTCCAGTATCGATGGAAACGGTGCAGTGTGTTAAATTTTTGCCACGGGACCAACGTTCGACGCATCACCGCGGTCGTCGGTTCAAATCCCGCACTCGTGTTTTATTTTTTATTACATTTTTTTCCATTTTTTATATATTTGTTTTAGACCCCAGCACCTGATCTTATTTTTATTTGTCTCCCTTTTATTTAGACTTTATAATTATAATTTTTGGACCTAAGGTGGTAAACTGTGGAGCATGTGGAAGTTTTTTGGCGCCGGGCAATGCTGTTGTTTGCTGTGCTTGCCCAATAAAATATCATAAGGCCTGCCTCGCCATCTATTAATATCAGAGAAAAAACTTGAATTAATATCAAAGAAAAAAAATACTGCATAAATAAATAGTATTATTGCATAAGTTGACAAATAATTCTATGCAATAGCTTTACCGCGGCAGTCCCCGAGTGCAACACGATTTTTTTTTAAGTACACGATTTGCATACCTATTTTCTAAATACAGTGGAGCCCCGGTAATCCGGCCCCTGGCTAATGCGGCACCCCCTATAATCCGACATCGTCTATTACATACAAGTATTCGCTAATTCACTATTGAACAAGTTACAACTTGTACGCACCATCACAATTGTGCTCGACGCGTAGGGTATTGTTTTTTATATTTTTTTGTAAATTCTATAGCATTTGACGTTACTTTTATAATAAAACATAATCTTTCTATTGTGTTGTTTAATTTACTAAATTTGACATACATAACAAAATATGTTTTGTAATCTTATCATTGGATCTGTAATTTGTCGGATTACAAGGTACTCTTTTGTAAAAAAATTCGGACTATAGGGGGTCTTAGGCAGTACTCTATAATCCGACAAATTCGATAGTTCGACACTGCCCTGCAAAATGTTTGTCGGACTACCGGGGATCCACTGCATTCTTTTAAGACCCTTTACTTTGATACCTCGCTTGACGGGTTATAAGCATTTTTTTTCTAAAGGTTTCATTTTGGCGCCTTATTATTGGGCATACATACATGCATACAAGTGAGAAAAACATTATCCACCGCAGTCGGGTAAAATTTTGAACAATTAAAATATTTTGATCTTTTTACTGTGTTTTATTGGTAAAAAATTGGCTAACCTAGCAACCCTGCATTCACTCACTCATAGATAACCGCCGCCATTACGGTGCCTCACTTTTGTCTTAACCGAAATTCTGTCCGCCTTTTTTTATACGTCCTTGATTCTGACACTTCCGTCTTTGTATATTTTTGAAATCCTCTTATTTGTAAAAGAGAACATGCACCTATTTGTAAAAATGGCAGATGTACTAGATCGCCACAGACGTGATAACAGTAGACTTTGCATGCCCAACTCCAGAACAGCCCTAATGGGAAATAATGTATTCTGTATGGCTCCTAGAATATATAATAAACTCCCAACATCTTTGAAAGATTTAAATTATAATGTGTTTAAACAGAAAATTAAGAAACTATTAACTGATAAATGTTATTATGCTGTATCAGATTTTTTAACTGACAAATTGTGATTTTATTTTATTTTTATTCTACTATTTGAATTGCAAGTACATATTGACATGTTATATATAGTTTTGACCAATTTTATTGACATTTGATTATTAAATTGACATTTGAAATGCAACTATTACTCAATTTAAATTTGAATTTATTAGTATTTTGTTTAGTTGCCCAATTTTATTGACATTTAATTATTGAATTGAGAGTTTTGACATGTATTAACAGTTTCTACCCAATTTACTGATATTTGACTATGTTTGTTTTGAAAGTATTGACATATTATTTAAAGTGTTTGCCCAATTTATTGTCATTTTTTATTGTATTGACATTATTGACCTTTTCATTTTTGTAATTTGAATCTTAGAATGATAATAATGAATATAAATAATAATTAATTTGTATGCCGATATTGGCACAACATGTTATGTACTTAGCTAATTATCACTGACAATCTTACTTACACATGTTGTTACAAATAAAATTTCTTTCTTTCTTTCTTTCTTTCCTTCTAAAATCTAATGACTGTAAAATAAAGTATAAATTACGTCAAGAATTACCGTATATGTCAATATTTTTTGTACATTTGGGCCAATTTGAGCAATCTCCTTTATATGAAAACATATGACTCGGAAATACACTTGTCATACGCAACGCCGTCACACGCGTCCCATGCAACGTTCGATCTGTCGCGCCAGATCGGCGTGGGAACGTGGAGGAGTAATCATACGCTATCCCACGCGTGCGACGACGTGAGTTTCTAGTTGTTACGGTCGCAGCGCGTCAGACACCGATAATTCAATAATGCTATGAATCTCCTCAAACTGTACTTTAGACATGCGGAAGTACATAGAGAATCGCTCTTCCTCACATACCAAATTCTTTAA